ACCTTCACAATTGCCTAATATTGCTCCTTGCAGCCATAACTAAAATATCCTTGGATACCTGTTCTGAATTATTGCAGTAGTCTAAGATACTAAAAACCTTTCCACATCCTACCCTGAAGGTGTGGTAGCACTTTTCCACCAAGGATACTTTAGCTTGCTATGAAATTAATCAAAGTGATAGGTATGAAGAGAAGTTTAATTAATGCTTTCTGGAGATTTCTGGGAGCTCGGTTTGAAAGGAGAAAGAATCTCTCATGGGAGTGGATGCCAGAAAATGGTCCTGAGTCCTTCACCCTTGCTTCCCATTTTATCCTTTGCTTCCATGCATGCAGCAGCAGCACACGTAAAGCTAATCACCCTTCCTTCCCCCTGGATCCTGGAACAAGCCACAGCCCAACAGCAAAACCACTAAAGAGCACACACAGTTCCCTCCCCTGGGAGACAAGAGAATGAACTGTGCATGGTCTAAGCCATTGCTAAATCTTAGTACATAGCTGGAGGAACATATGCCAAAGGGTGAGCCTTAGATAAGAATCTACAGAGCAAAGCTGAGAACAGGCAGGTTCCACTCTCACTGCCAAAAAACACAAAATAGCCTCCCCTGTGACGAGGAACCCCCTCACCAAAAGAGAATTCTGGGTTACAGAGAATCAGCCTGCCCCACTCACAAGCCACCTGCTCTGAAAGCTGTTCATGTAATGTACAAACGTCTCTGAAGGCAGAAAAGGATTTAGGTTCACAGTAAATACACGATGTACATCCACTTACTGGCACCTTACAGGCTAAAGGCAGTCTGGAAAACAAGAAGGCAGAATATGGAATTGACAGGTTTTCAAAGATGACTTACACAATCAGCTCCTAATAGAGCAAACCAAATGTAAAGCTCCAGAGCTCAAATTTACTTCAAAAAAACTGAGTCTAAAACGCTCCCAAAATAAACAGCTTGAGTCCTACTTAACTGAGGAAGCCAGAAAGCTGAAATATGCGACTGTATCTGAGTGGAGATAGTTTTACAAATTGCCTGAATGCAGTACAAGGGTCGGCAAGAACGCACAAGCCCTGAAAAGACTGAAATGCAGCCCAGCAAAGGTAGCAGGCAGCACACCATTGCTAAACTACTCATGGCATTGAACTGGGCATCCTGGGAGAAAATTACAAGCTCAGCCCCGTAAAGGGCTACTCACACAGCTTGGAGAGAGACTCCTGTGCAACCATTTATAAGCAGCAGAATGTGTTTTTTCTGGTAGGGCTCAGAGAGCGTTTCCAACGTGGTGTAATTGCTTGCGTGCTTATTGAAGAGGGGGACAAGGGCAGGAGCAGGGGGATTAAAAGGAAAAAAAAATCATCTGTTTACAGCATTGTGCTGCTTTTCAAATGATGTTTTCTTACATGGCTCCAGTTTTAGGCACAGCTACCGAGTTTCAGGCTAATGCAATACTGCTGCAAGTATCGCAGTGGAGAATCTGACTTCATGTGCTATGGCATATATTGTTGGTGGCTCTGTTACTGCATTTTACAAAGTCATTTTTCTTGGTGTGGGAACACTGTTATTCTTGGTGTGCAAGGCCTGCTATGGAAAAATTAGAAGAGAAGAGGATAAACTTCACGATGAATTATTTTCTCTCAGAATGAAAGCACAGATTTTAGAGCATCGTAAAGTATTAAAAATGTCTTCCAAAATTTATTTTCAAGCCTTCCCTTGGTTTTAGAACTATGTAAAAAGATAAAAATGTACCCAAGCTGCTTTTTTCCATCTCTTAATATAGCTTCATTTTCTCTTCTTCAGAAAAGAAAATTTGTACTTCTATATTTCATAAATATGCTCCAGAACAACTTCTGGATGCTAATTAAATTAGACCTAGTAGAATTCTCAGCAGAAAAAATCTCCCCCTTCCCCAGTTCTCCCTTTTTTTTTTTTTTTCCTATTGGAAGAGATGGAAGGAAGGGAATAAAATCTGACTGAGAAACACAAGGCTGATTGCCTCTCATAACTCAAGACTGTAAGCTGCTTTACAACTCCAGTGTGGATTTCCCATTTTGTGCTCGTTTGCCCTGCCACAACCCAGTTCTAAGAGCAGCATTAAACTGCAGCCACGCAGAGATCCAGCAACCATCACTGCAGCAGAGAACCAAGGGAGCCTGTGCTTGTACCTCACCCACCCCAAAGAGGAGCTCAGGAGTATATTGGGATTTTTCTCCTCACTGCTGCTCCTTCGCAGACAGTCACAGCAGCACAAGACAATCCCAGACATCTGGAATCTCTGGAGACACACACAGCATGGGGAAGGGCACCAAAGGGAAAAAACAAGAGGGAGGAAAAAAATAACTTGCTTAATTTTAGGGTGGAAGGGTTTTTTCTTTTTTTTTCTATATTTCCTTCATCTCTCAGTCTAATTAATTGCAGGGGTTAACCCAACTGAAAAACCAAAAGAAATCAAAACCTATCCTATGAAATCCTTCCTTCATTTAAAAGACCAAGGGATGGGAGAAAGAGGAGCTCTTTCTTCTCTTACTGAATCAGACTTCAAATGCTTACAAACGTTTCAGACTATTTAAATCTCCAGCAATATTTTAAGATTACTAAGGATTCTTCCTGAATTCATTTTATGTAAAAAGGACCCAATTCTGACTACCTCATTTGTGCAAACAGACTGCCTAAGTCCTAAGAGACCATATCCTCAGCTTGATGATTGCCAGGGACTTTTGATACACATTTGCCATGTCAAAAGCCATCTATAAACAGTTGTTGCAAAGATTATTCTTTCCTGGATCTGCCACACTTCTTCAAGTGAAATTCCATCAAATGCAACGCCGATCTACTCACTTCTCACAATCAGTCCTCCCTACAGATGTACCAGGACAGAAAAACCCTGAGAGATGTCTAAGTGCTTGTATCAACAAGTCTGAGTTTGTGCCGTGCAGATTCTCTTCCCTGTGAGTGCAGTGCACGAGGATTTTGCATTTACTTCAGCAGGTGCCATGATACAGCCCAAAACCTGCCAAAATCAGAAGATGCCAGTGCAAACTTCTCATTGAGATTTATATTGTGATCCTCTGAATGGAAGCATTTGCCTGCTTAAGTGCAACTTTCTAAAGCAACAGAATCCAGCTAGCAACAGAATTCCTGGAAGTTATAAAACCAGAAAATTGACAGGCTTCCATCTGTTTAACCAATTGCTCTAATCAATATCCTTTCCCTCCATAATGTTTTGTACAGATATTGTCTCTCAAATACATAACTGCAGAATCAATGGAGTTGGGAAGTATATATGAATTTCAATGCTACAAATGGCAAAACATTATGAAAATATGAACTGCTAAAGCTATCACGGTGCTTAAAGGCACAGAGTTTATTAAGGCAATCTGTAAAACATCACCAAACAGAAAAAAATTTCTTGAAGTCAACAATCTACAGGTTTTCATGAGACAGCCAAGTACAATGATAATAATCCAAGATAATTATCTGAAGATGATTTTCCTCTTGTTTTACCCTAACCTTACAACAGTGCTCTAAAAGCAGCTCCTCAGGGAAATGGCATCACCCAGAGTTCCCACTTGCCCAGATGTTTCTCTCATTATGTTACAAGCCTGTCAAGAAAAGGCAAATTCAGGGTTATTCTAATGATAGCAAACACCTCATAAAAAAACCTCTCCACATTTACTTTTCCAAGGAACATCATTTAAAAAGGCATTCCCAGTGCCCATGAGAAAAGAAGGCATCATTTATAAAACGTCATTACCAGAAATCTCGCAGATATTAAAAGAAAACATCCTGGAATGTCAAGCTGGTGATAAAACTGCAGCGACAGCATGGTGGGGCCTTACCCGCAGCGCAGGGCTCAGCACTCCTCAGCAGGACTCCCACCAAGTTCTGCAGGAGGTTTTCTGAGTTAGGGGGACCTGCCTCCAGGCTGTGACTGGAGCCTGCAGCTCTGGGTTCCCTCCTGTGGCTAGTGGGTTCATTTTGGGGACCACCAGCTGGGGATCCCGTGCATACAGTGACCAGTACAGCCTGCACTCTCCTTACCTCTCCTTGGCTTTTATCCTCAGCTGGTGCTATGATTCTTACCCAGATGATGGATAAATTTACAGTGATAATAATGATGACATTTTTTGTCAGTTTATCGCATGACTTGGTAGTTGATTTTATTTTATCACTTGGGTGGAGGAGAAGAGAGCATGCCAGGGGCACACGCAACTGACCAGAGATTTACAAGCTTTGCCTGTGGATGTTGGTGATTCTGCAGCTTTGATCACTGTCTCCAGCCATTATAAATGAATGGCAACATGTGATACTGAATAAAAAGAATGACCTGCAAGAATACTGAAACAGAACCAAAAAAAGTCCTTCACCTCTGTCGGGCATAATACACAGTGGAGTTTCATGGGAGAAGTCTTTCAAAAGACTGGAATGGGCCAGCTGGGTCACAAGCGCTGTCCTTCACATCACAAGCACTTATGACAATAAGTTTCTTGCCTGTTTCAGGACTCAGTGTTAGCCTGTTTCTTGAAGTTTTCCAAGGAAAGCCATACACTTAGTCACAGTATTTCCCGAGACCATACAACTATCTGTTCCCCTCTAGGGAATCCTGTGTCCCCACGAAGGGATGTCCTGGCTGGAACATGCCGTGCCTGACACGGCTGCTTCCATCCCTCGCCTGCCCAGGTGCGCTGGCCGTCGTCCGCTGCGGGAACACGCGTGGGAGCCGCCCCGACGCCTCCCGCATGGCATCGAACCGCGGCGCCGGAGCAGCTCTGCCTTTGCCCCCGAGAGCGTAAAGCCAAGGAGGGCGGGGGACACCCCGTAACCTCCCGGGGAAGCCCTCGGGCCGCGGAGCCCTCGGGGTCGCGACGGGCGGCGTGAGAAGGAGGAGGAGAAGGCGGACGGGGCAGGTGCACGGCGGCGGATCCCGTCAGCCCGGGCAGCCCCCGCTGCCCGGCCGCCCCCGACGGCCCCGGGGGACGCGGGAGGGTGGTGGGGGAGGCGGGGCGGCACTCACCTGCCGCTGGCTGTGGTTGCCGGCAGCCGAGGGGGCGTGGGGCTCTCCGCCGCCGCGCAGCACGGTGATGTGCAAGGTGAGCAGGAGCAGCCCCAGCAGCAGCAGCAGCTCGGCCGCCAGCCGCACCATCCTCTTGAGCCGGGCGGCTTTAGGGCCCCGCGGCGGCGGCGGCGGACCCCGACACACGCGGCGCCCACGGCGCCAGCAGCAGCAGCAGCAGCAGCAGCAGCAGCGGGGGCCGCCGCACCACGGCGGAGCCACGTCGGGGCGGGATGCCGCGGCGGCGGCCAGAGTCCCGGCGCTGCCCGGCGGCGGGCGGCAGGTACCCGAGGCCGGCGGCGTCTCTGCGGGCAGCCCTGCAAGCCAGAGGCAGCGCGGGCCGTCGGAAGGAGGGAGCGGGCGGCAGAAGCCCCGCCGCCTCGGGGAGCCGCGGCCGGCGGAGAGCAGCGGGTTTCGGCGGCCGGCGGGGACACGCTGCGAGGACGGGGGGAGCCGGCAGTGTGTGTGCGAGAGAGAGGGAGGAGGGAGGAGAGCGAGGCGGGGGGGCCGGGGACGAGTCTCACATGGCGGGGAAGCCGGGACGCTCCGAGGGGAGGAGAGAGCTCGGGGCTATCGCCTCCCTCCGCGCGGGGATGGGGGTGGCCCCTGAACCAGCTTCCCCCGCCGCCGCCGCCGCCGTGTCCTCGCCCGCCCCGCTGCTCCCCCCTCCTCTCCCGACGCCCGTCGAGGCGTCGCCCTGCCCTGCCCTGCCCTGCCCCGGCCCCTCTCGGTGCGGCGGGGACGGAGTGCGGTGCGCCGCGACCCCCGCCGGCTCCCAGCCCTCGAGCTCCCCGGGGAAAAAGAGGGGCAGATTGCAGCTTCCCTCTCCCGTCCACCTTCCTCTTCCTCCCCCTCTCTACCCCCTGGCTCGGCCGTGGGGAATGGGATAGGGGGAAGAGTCGAGGGGCTGCAAAAAGCTTCAGCTGCCCGCTGCCCTCCCGGGGAGCTGGATACCTGGCTCCATCTCTCCTCTCTCTTCCCTCCAGTGCCCTAGGGCTGGCAGGGGTAGCGCCACACTCTCTCCTGCCACCGTGCGTGCGTGTTTGCAAGCGGCTGCCGCTCCTCCTGGCTGCTGCTGCTGCTGCTGCTGCTGCTGCTTCCAGACCCACTTTCTCGCCCCCTCGCTCTGTGTCTGGAGAGGTACGCGTCGGATGCTTTTATACTGCCCTGCCTCCTTCCCCTGCTCCCCCCCTTTTCCTTCGCCCTCTCTGCAGCTCCTGCTCCAGCCTAGCGTGTCCCCCCCCCGCCCTGTTCCTCTCCTCCCCGTGCCGACCTGCTCCTCTCCGTGCCCTGCTTTGCCAGGACACCCCACGGCTGCACCCGCACCTCTTCCCACACACCTTGCACCTTGCGTCCCGACTGCCATCTCTGCTCGGCTGGGATGGATCTGCCCTGGAGTGAGTGACACATCCCTCCCAGCTGGTCTGTGCGTCCCTAGTGGGACTCCACCGGGGTTTGACACTCCTTACTCTTCCTCTGGGTTGCTGACCTGTGTCAGTACTCTGGAAAAACCTTTCTCTCTCTGATGGGAGGCCCCTCAGATTTAAAAGTAATGCAAACTTGAGAATATGTGAAAATGAGGGTTGGATTATCATTTGCTACAAGTCAATATCTCAGCGTCCAGTCTGAGGGAGCCGGATATCTTTGTGGGTGCTCAAGGTGCAGCTCAGTGTGACAAGAACAAACACAGCTCAAATCAGCTTGAAGCATAAATAAAGCCACCTAACAAAAAAATGGGAGTTTTGGAATCTTTGTTGTCGTTCTTGCACAATTGGGAATGTTATGTGTAAAAATGAGGATATGAACAATCTGTGAGTGTGTGACAGCTGAGAGGCTGAATTGGTCTAAAATATCTAAACTGGGGAAAAAGTATCTCCCAATCTGAAACATTTTCATCTGGAGATCAGTGTCCCTAGCAGGGTTTCCTGCAAGGTAAGGATGAGATGTTCTCCCAGTGTGCAGCGCCAGCTGGGACAAGGCGCATCATGGGAGTCTTAGCCCACACTGTGCCCTGGAAAACTGGCACTTTTGGGGCAGGGGGAGAATCAGAGCTCCACAGAGGTTCCTTGCAGGTCTTGGAGCATCTGAAGGCTGTGGTCATGAGTGAGTCAGAATGATGTCTTGTACTCTTCTAGTGATAACCACTGTCAATGATTGCACAGGAATCAGGCAAGGATGTAATTAATATAATTGTACTGGGGTATCATTAAAGATGTGACCAAAAGCCACAAGCCCCAAACTTTAAGATTTAAGGATTTTTAAATCCACAAACATACTCCATGTTAGCACTGCAGTAGGAATGATCAGCACAGATGCTTGTGCAGGGTAGGGACTCCCATGGGTCTGCCCTGAGTGTGTCAGAGGTACAGCTCCCATCTCATGAAATCACTTGTTGAAAATTACCCGGTATGGCCCTGATGCTCTTGGGTCATACAGAACAATTCAATACTGCATAAAGCCATAACAGCCTGTGGGACTGTCACATGGCTTTCAAAAAATGTGGTGCCTCTTTTTTTTTTTTTTTTTTTTTTTTTTAACCCAAACATTCCTTGGGCTAATCAAAATATTGAGAAGATAAAAACACTGATTGTACTTCAGTTGTCTTCGCTCGGCCTTGGCTGTCCTCCTGCCACCCTTGCTGCGATCCTGGTGGCAGTGGGCAGAAGCAGGGCAGCTACGGGGGGGCAGGCTTGGCAGCCAAGAGGCACAAGTGTCCTCCAGGTTTGCTGAAGTCTGACCATACATAGTGGCTGTCAGTGGATCCTGGCTGTTGAAGAAAAGTGGAAACTTGGCACATGAGTTCCGTATTTCAGAGCTCAATAGTACGAGTCGACAGCCAGAGCAAGACTGAAGGCTCGTAATGCGAAACAGTCTGAGTGACAGTCTGGTTTAAAACACACACATGGATCTGCCGCCGAGCTCTGGGTAATGCAAGTTCTCCCTTGCCTTATGAAACTGAACCAAAAGACATCTTTAATCCAGATGAGATGGGCCTGTACTGGTGTGCATCTCCTCGTGGCACATCAACGCCTTGAGCTGTTGTGCAAAGCTAGGGAGGGACAGAGCAGTGCTGCTCTCAGCAGCAGGCCGATGGCAGTGAGGAACCAAAACCTCTTCCCACTGGAAAAAGTTGGGGTAAAAATGGTACTTGGGAATGGCACTGCTGCCTGTGAGGCTGTCTGGGGCAGCGAGGCAGGAGTGGGAGCACACGTGATCTGGAGATGCCCCTTTAAATTCACACTCTTCAGTCAGCAGATGACTTCATCGATGATTCCAGACAGCTGAATCAAGACCTGGAAGGGAGATGGATTTAAAAGCAAAGGGGGAAGTTCTCTTTTCCCAGCTGGGTGGACACTTGCTCAAGCAGCCACCATTTAGTCCCTGGAAGATGAAGTCAGGGTTCACCAGGAGGAGGGGACCATAGCTAGCCTGAGGGGGATACTGGATACTGCTCCTGGGGTGTGGCTGTGGGCACTCAGCAGGGAGGTGGATCAGCAAGTGGGTCTGACAGTGGTGTTGGGATAAGAGACGTGTGTTCCTGTGATAGCTCCCTGTAAAGGCTCACAGCTCACACCTCACCCCTCCACCTCCAGCTTTTACCTTCCATTTCTCTTCCCTCCACCGATAAAGGCAGACTCAGCTCCTGTGCGCTTCCAGCTTCTTGCCAGTGCAAGGGAAAATATCAAGAGCCATTGGGAAAAGAGCCCAAGCTCTTTGACGAGCACCACAGTGCCCAGCCAGGCAGTGTAACCCAGCTCACATGATGGCAGTCAGCAAGCTCTGGGATGTCCTCTGGCACCCTGCCTCTCACACACCTCACACGTCCCATGCACCTCGTTGTGCAGCTTCAAGAGCAAGTAGTGGCTGTCCATGCTGCAGCCTCCACCACAGGGAGAGAACTCTCTCCTGGGAGGTGTTTCAGGAGCCTGTTGGCTACAGCTATGACACTGCCAGAGGAAGGGCCCAGAGTCTCACACCAGCCTGCCAACAAAAATGCCGCTGTACCACCTTCAGGGCTCCAGGCCAACAAACTTTGGCCAGGGCTGAATTTGTCGTGTCCTTACTGACATGTCCTGATGGTGATGCTCCTGTCTCCAGCATTAGCCATCACAGCTTATCACCCCACGTACTGTCCACCACACTGCCTGGGGCAACCCCTCTTCATCACTGTGCAGGCACCCACACTTGGTGTTGTCCTGAAAACCAAAGTATTGCCTGAGACACAGCACACTGCAGAGGCTGGGTGGTCCTAGGGACTGAAATAAACATTTTGGTTCATTTCGTTGATTGTACCTCGTCAGGTGTGAAAAATCCTCACTTTGGATGAGTGTCACCAGGTGACAACCTTCAAGGCCAACATGAAAATCACTGGATAAGAAGGGGAGAGAAAAAAAAAATCAGTATCATATAATATTAACAAACATAACTCACTTTACATGTTTTATCTCAGAAGTGAGAAGGACCACTGGGTTTTATGTCACAGTATCAAGACTCACTGGGGTCCTACACTGAAGCAGTCCCAGCAATTAAAAATTATTGGTGTTACCTGGTTGTCCACTTTACCCCTTTACTGTTCATCCTGGCATTGCTCCAGGACTGTGAAGGCATCCTGTCTGTAAGATCTGACAGCTTTTCAGAGAAGCATTGCTGCTCCTCAGCCTGCACCCACTCCCAGGATGCCATCGTTTCATCTTTAAGCCTAGGGGTTGCTTTAAATTTATCAGGGATGAAAACCTGGCTCCACTGAAGTCGTTGGCAAAGCTCCCATTGACTTCAGAGAAGCCAGGATTTCACCCTAAGATGCTTTGTAGATTATTGGTGAATGGAAAGCATACGTCTGGCTTCTCCAGGGTTATTATTGTTGGTGGTGACCTCTGCTCTGGCAAGCATTGAGCAAGGCTGCGTTGAGACAGATGCTTAAAGCTTTCCCTACCTCTTCCCCTGCTTCCTCACAGGGGCTTTGCTTTATGGCTCATCATCTTGGATGCTGCTTATCAAGGAATACCTTCCCTGTTGCCTGCCAGTGGAATTTAATGCCTGTTTGCCCACATTCCCCTTCCCCCAACGCCAGCAGATCAGCAGATAGGAGACAGAATGGCTGATTAGCTTCCTAGCCCCAACCTCTTAGCTATAAGCTGCAAATGCACACACAAGTGTCTTCTCTCAAAAAAAAAAAAAAAAAAAAAAAAAGGGAAAGAAAAAAGAATATTATTCCCTTGTTCCCTTGCAGGCAACCCAAGTCTTTCTGTGACTCATGGTTCCTTTATCTCAATAAATTGCTCCTTGAATAGTAACCACCCTCTTTTTAAGAGAACTGATTACCTTAGAGTTCTCAATTTTCCTGCTTCTCCTAGACTGGTGCTTTTCTTCCTGTCTACATATTTTGCCACCAGCTGGGGTCAAGATTTCTGAATTCTGCAGTGCCTGTGTGACAGGCTGGAAATTCAGCAGCCACTTTATTAAAAGTTGAAGCCAAACCGGAAATGTATAACAAGTCTGGATTATGGAATATGGAAATGGAGAAAACAGAAAAAACAATCCAGTCCAGTTTCCCAACAGCTAGGTTGGGTTTTTTAATACTAAATTCTCTTTATTTTACAGTCTGCCACATTTTCACTTTCCAATATGCTGCTCATTTTTGTACTGATGATGTGCAACTGCACTGGAGCGTTTGCCAAGCTGTGGCAGTATGGGACTGTGGGAACCAGCATGCCAGGCAAGGTTTTTCAGAAGTGCCCAATGACTCCAAATTCTGCTGACTTTCATGAGAGCTTGCCACAAGGCAAATTTGCCTCTTTGGAGAAATGCAGTGAAACCAGCAAATGCCTTTCCTCTGAAGAGAGTTTTAGCAGTGCAAAAGTGCCTGGGTTGGTGCAGTGAAGCTGAGGGTTTCAAACAGAGGAAAGGCTCCCACTCTGGATTGATTTATTGTCGTTCCCTGGTGGTTTTCTGGCAGCAGTGACCCATGTGGCAGAGATGGCCCCCTGGCCCAGAGCAGGGAGGCAGCCCCCTGTTTTGGCAGCAGTGAGCCATTAGATTGGCTCATCCACTAACTTGACTCAGCCAAATTTATCACTAAATTCAAATTATTACATAGAATAAATAAGGCTGCAGCTCACCCTGTGCTCACACAGGCTGTCAGTGGGTGCACAGCAGCA